AGTCCTGGCCGAGGTTACTGGGCCTGTTTCTTTCCGAGGTTCACAAATGAGAACCACCCTGTTGGAAAGAAATAGGAGACCACGCGGTCGTCAAAATGGCCAAATCCTGAAAGTGAAGGAAGACCGAGATTTTACCGGTGACACACCGTCCTTTCAAACTATCAGTATAAACCGTGGTACAGAATTATGAAATTTCTAGCCACAGTTCTTTTATCTTCATCCGCATCTGTCGTCACATCGCTTATATTCATTCATAATTATTTCATTTCAGTAAAGCGTCATTTTTCCAGCTGGCTTTGGCATTGTGTGATTTTTCTGTTCACTCTATCATAACCTAACTTAGCTTCATCGGAGATGAACTTGGGTGAATTTGATAAATTCAAATGCCAGTAGAACGGTTAATTCAGTTTATCGATCGATCTCTTCTTTCTGATGCCTATCTGATGCTGATAAAATGCTTTAAACAGGCCTAATTGCCTTAATGAATCTTTGAGGAGGCCGTGAAAAATGCTCTTAAGAAATCAAGCTTATGAATTCGGAATGTGCCGGCAGTGATTATTGTTGAACGATCTACATTTGTATCCATGATCGTTGATCTAATCAGAACGTTCGTTGGTGAAATGAGTTCTCCTCAGAAATTATTCCTCCTCTCGAAAGGATCAAATCACTTTATTTCGTCTCTCACTATAATTGTTCCAATCATTAAAGTTCCTAGTATGAAATTGCGATTTAATCATATCAGTGTTTCTGAAACCTAGCGGTTGATAACTTTAATAACTTTCTTAAATGTGGTGCAAAATGGTTGACTCCCGTTTTGCGACTAAATGTAATATGTAATTCGTAAACGAAGCACGTTTGTTTGTTAAATACAAAAATTGTCGTGTTCGAATATTCTGTGAGATTCTGATAATATAAACTCAAAAATTATTTGTAGATAAAAACCAGCAGGCCGTTTCGGCTATCACAACATCATCGTGTTTGATTTCTAATCTGCATTCGACGGGGTCAAGCAGAACATCTCTCAGTACCTCCGTTTTTAATACGGATTCTCAGGTGCAGCTAAACGAGATTCAGCCAATTGCTGTTCATTCTCGTGACGTCACATCCGTTGTGTCCTCGAAGGAATATTTCAATGAAAAGAGTCGCCAGATGCAGGATTCTGGCAGTTCAGTCGAGGCGCCTTCGATGGTGGTGGTGAGACAGGCGCCACCGCCGCCGCTATCAGTGACCGCTGTGACGTAAGCAGTATTTTAAGGTTCACTGAGAAACAGCCAACCAACTGCAACACGGCATTTCATTTCAGAGATTGCATGTCCGAGCTGTCGTCAATCAGCACGGCTTCAGCAAATACGTCTGAATTAAAGACCATTCCGACGGATAGACACATGGCTGATGATTCAAGCTTTGCCATTAGCACTATTAGCCAAAAACGTGAGCGAAGTGTCCCCTCGTCGTCTTTAGCACCATCTTTGCCGTTTGCCGACCAGACTTCGCTGACCGTTGTGACGGCAACCGCTCGGGACGATCGACTAAAAGTTTGGTCACAGCGTTATGGACTGACTAGTGCCGCAACGACCGCTGAGGTGGTTACCTCTGCTGGCCCTGCCCCCACTGTCTCTTCCAGCCAGTTCGATGACCACCAAGGATGGAGTTCAACGAACGGCTTTGTAAGCCGTTTGAAACGTTCGCCAGCTATGATTCTCAGTCAGTCAAATGAGACGCAACAGAGCTCTGAAGCAGACACTGCTACATCTTTTGGATTTTTCGCTAAAGCACTTCTCGACACTTCTATGAACAATAAGGCACGAGTATTTTTCTGTCACTGATTTGAAACATGTTTAGTTACGTAATTAATTTACCTTACTGTGAAAACCTATCGAATCAGAATTAATTTATGTAAGGCTAAGTTGAATGAGAGTAAATGCATTAAAAATAATGATGCTGGATCGAAACGCCGAAAATGTACGGTTTAAAGAATGAGAAAGCTATTTCTCACCTTACAACAACAGCTTTATAGCAACGCCGCCTAGGTTCTAGACGCCAAAAGGGGCTGTAAGCAAGCCACGGCTATATGGTATTTAAGCGCCTACAGTGTGCATGAGACGCAGGACCGCATCTCAAAAGGCGGCTGGTACCGAAAGCTCTGCCAAAACATCGGGGTTCTGTTTTGTCATTAAATGAGAGTAGGTTGCCATAATTCACACGTTCACGCATTACCTTTGGAAGGTCATACGTTCTTGGTTACGAGCGCTGACTGCGGAAAGTCATACCTTATTCATATTTTGATATTCTCAGTTTAATGCTCCCGGGTCTCAGTAGAGCAATTATGAAAACAATACGATCGCGTAAGATGGTTTAATTTTATAGCTGTACATGAGCAATTACGGCTAGATGAGGTTTAGATCAACACAAGACAGAATCGTTCAAAAATAAATTCTTGGATACTACGTCTCACAAATTGTGTTTTGGTCATATTTCAAATATGATTATCAAGATATTGACAAACTAAATAATCTCTGAAATATATACAGTTGAGAAATATGCACTTTCCGTTTCGATCTGCCAGATGCCGCTTTAGCTTTGCTAAAGTAAACCATGCCCTACTATGACTAGTTTGAGCTCACATTATTTAAATTTACTGAAGAAGCTGCACAATGAGAGTTTGAGACACAGACGTGATTGAGGAATGATGTTTCTAGGGCCTCCAGCTTCGTTATATTACTGAAAACGTTTGAAATAACGCTTAATCACCTACGTGATCCTTCTTCGGCTATTGTAACTTTAGCAATTTCTTTTGTCTCTGACAGCGTGGAAAATTCTTTGGTGGGCTGGAATCTAGCATTGAGAACTTGAGTTTGCGCTTTGATTTTTTGCTTTGCTTTCGTGTATTTTAATAGTGATGTTCATGTGTTTTATAACCAAAATTTCATGTGTCCTAACACCATGCGAAGTGCCATATTTTCATACAAAAATTGCTCAACACTGCGTTAAAGCCACTCTGTGCTAATGCAATTTGGATGTAAGCATGTTTTGGTATCGATTTACGAACTACATTTGCCATGATTGAGTGATTACGCCCAGTCGGTAGACTATTCGTTTTGCTACAAATAAAAGAATTATACTAATGTTTCCCAACGCCATACCAGTCTGAAAGTGAGCACTGACAAAATTTGTTCTTACCTCTGAAGTAAGATGTTTCGTGATTAAGCCTGGTGAAACTTTGTGCCAGTGAAGATACTGTAGTAGAACTCAGACCCCCCACACGCTTGTCGGCTGATACTCAACGATCGAATTATTGATCTTGCTTGAGTTGGATGACGAGACATTGGCAGAGACAGACACGGGCACAAAATATCACACTACAATTGCGCTCCAGTGCCGCGCATAAGCGCCCTTCTACGTTTTTATCGATTTCTGATTTCTGATGTCTCGTTGTCATGTCCTCATGCGTTGTCTAAGTTTCCTGTTGATGGAAAAAGTTTTTATTTGGCGAGTATTACCAATGGCAGAATAGGTCAGGTCAATGAGCAAATTCAACTATGATGTTTGCTGTGTATATTATTGACTGTTGAGGAATTGTTATGTTCTGTGGATCACGGTTTTGTTTCCTTTATTAGGAAGTTGAAGTCACGGTGTGCAGCCAACGATGCTTCGAGATGGGTCGTCGGAAACTGCCAAGCATCCCAACCTCGGAAACAGTTCGAAGTGGCCAAGTGAGTTTCTTCAGCATTGATTGGCCGTTAATAATGGCGACGTGTTATGTTCGTTCGTTTAAGCGAATCCGAGACGACTTTGGCATCGGTAGTGCAAGCGGCAACGATCGACCAGCAGAAGACAAAGGCTATCGTTCCCAACAGCCGCAGCAGCAGAAGCAGCTGAATCGCCTGTTCCCTTGGGGCACCACTGGGCTTGTCGACCAAAAGAGAAGGCTTGCTTACGTGAGCAGTCAGAACGTCCGATTGCCATGCACTCTTGCACGCGTTCTCCTAAAGCAAGAGCTACGCGAAGTACTCAGCAAGAGACTCCAAGACATGCACGTCTACGAAGCTGAGGCCAACCAGCGCCAGTATCAAATCAATGTAAGTATTTGCAATCGATTCAGGTGATCGGTCATTCACTCCATCCCATAGCGCAGTAGCCACCTAAATCCTTTCATATCAGCTATATGACGCAACACGAAGCTCGTTGAATGTTTTGAAGAAGCAAGTGCTTATGACAATTCACACTGCAAACATCACATATGAATTCTCTCTCTACCTGACCTTGCCTTAATCTTCTGATAGCTGCATGCAAGTAGCCCGCATGTCTTCCCAAGAAACATGTTTCTTTTCTTACTGTCGACACGTCTTGAGTGACATGACACACAAGAGTGAGAGGTGACGACTGTTGATTACTTGTATATTTTGTGCAATATGCTTTATTTTTCTGTTTTAGCGCTACATGGCCACAGGATTGTACCCTAATTCAGTTGGAATCGACTTCTCACCGAATACCGTTTATTGCGAGCTGCCAGCAGAACTGGTGCACGGGGTCAGAGTGTTATTCAAGCCCAAGTTAGCAAAAGAATCACTGTCTTCGACTGCTGCAGTTAAAAAGGCATCAAAATCATCCATAAATAAATGGCACCAAGGGGTTTCTGAACCTTCAACAGCTCATCTTACTACGGTAAAGCAATTTTTCTTAGAATTTACATCTTTCACACAAATTGGATTACGTAGCACGAAGTTATTTTACGTATCTTACTCATTTGTGTTTTGTACCGGGTAGTGAAATTGTTATGATTATAATATCCGCTGAACAACAAGCCGATTACTAAGAATTTGTTACTTTTAACTGATTCCGCGAATTAAACACTCCTAAGTGATGGGAGATTTACAAAAAAGCTGTCTTTCAGTGTTTCGTGTTAATCTCCAGAACGGCGGTTTCTCTGAAGGGTTCCCATCAAAGCACATGGAGGGGTTGGGGATATAGTAACTATGGAGTAGGGGGTTACAGGAATATGTGTGGTTTGAAACTCAAATGTTGAATCTATTAAATATTTGCTTTATGGTCTGCTTCGATGAATACCGTTGTTTTTACTGGTACGTGCGAGTTTAAGGTGAAAGAAGCGAATGGACGTTCAGCAGATAAGTCAAATTTGAAAGATGAAGAAACGCAAACAGTGTTATCCCCATATGTAGAAGCAGCATCAGCAACGTGCGATATCGACGATACCAAGGTCAGTGCCAGAACTGCTGTTGACCTAACTGTGCAACGCGTTGATGTCAGCACTTCAACCGAAATCAGACCTACTTTTAAGTCTATAGCTGTAGATACCCAAGATCTTCAGACCAAAAGTAAGAATCAAGTTTCTGTTTCATTTGCAGGTATCAATATGTTATTCAAAGGCAAGTGATGTTCTTTCTTGGCTTCCGGTTGCATTGCGACTCTACCTGAACATTTTATGAGTCACGTTGCATGGCATGAAATGCGTCGTTTGTAATTTCCTTGTCAATATGTTCTTATAGATCTTAAAGATTTGAACTTAGTTGTTTGCTAAAGGAAGCTTGACCTTTGAACAGAAGAAAATTTTACTTCTCTATATGCTTCTGATCAATGGAACTTTTTAGATCACAAAACCAATTCAAGCAAGTCGTCAGTGAAAACGAAGACAAAAAAATCATTTGCCTCCTCCTACTTTTCTGATGACGATGACTCTGAATACAGGGAGTTTCGCAAATCAAGGATTCGCAATGAAATCGCAAGACGACGTGAAAGGTTTTCGTCGCCCGGTGATTACGGTGTTGCCACGATGAACTATGGCTACGGCAACAGTAGTCCAAGACCCATTGCTGGTTCCGCATCGTCACAAACCTTGCCTCCTTTTAGCAAATTGTATGGTATGAATTACTTAAACTACAACGCGAGAGCTTTCAGACCTCCCACTACTCTGGACAGCCATGCCAATGGTAGCGACCACTACGGTTCTTTGCATTACTATCACAAAATGCATCCTATGTACCACTCTGATGCTGGCTACTTATCTGACTTCCAAGATTATGCTCGATCAGACTTCGGTGGCTTTTCTGATGAAATGGCAAATCTCCCGCGAAAGAGTCTCAGCACCTCCCTTCCTTACCTGAATCGTAGCTTCTCGCTGACACCTCATCAAGTCAAGTTTACTTACAGTAATCCCATATCTGATGCGGATCTTGCAGGTACGAGGGTGTGTCGATTGTAATGCAAATTGTAAAATGTTTCAAACTGCTCGAGATGAAAAGTTGTTCAAGTAAAGTACCCTTTAACCGCTACTACATTTCAGAAGACTATAGCATTGTGTAAAGAATATCTCTCGTAGATTACGGAAACCATCGAATTTTCCTTAAGTTGAATACAATGATTCTGAGAACGCTCTGTGTGTTTAATTGTGTTTTACTACTATCTGTGTCGCATTGGTTAGATGAACATTTGAAATTTCTTTTACCAAAATCTCATGTACTGCAAGGAGGAGATAGCAGTAGCATACTAAGGACGTCATATTTTTTCCTGTATTAAAAATGATATTAATTTATTGATACACAATTCAGTGATCGTTCATCAGAAAGAGTTAGGCATCACAGTGACAAACCAAAGTGGAAATTTTGATCCGTTGCTTAAACTTTGTGCACATGATGGTTAGCAATTGGTAGCTTTGGACTGTTCGTCGCCTGAAGATGGTCTTGTGAAATAGATCGAACACTGACAGTTACATATCAGGAATTGCATATCGTGGAGCTAGCAGTTGCGGTTAAAACTGTCTAACTCTGCCAAACAATGATAATAAATCGACTTAACTCATTAATTATAAGTTCTGATCATCGATTGAATTGATCTTTCATCGATTCTGTTTCAGTGACAGATATTTCAAATTAGTTTATCACGCTGCTTATCATTTTATGTTCCTATGACCAAGAATCATAGCAGAGCATTGTTTGAGACTTTATATAAATCACCCAAAGTCTTCAATATTTATGCTTTTAGCTGTCCATTGCTGAACAAAATTGGCGTCACCTTTTTCGTAGGTCTCCTTAATTGAAGCACATTAAATGTGGTAGGAAAACGGACAAATAATCGAATGGTAGTAAAACGGTGGTACAAACTCAGAAATTTATGGTCTTATGGCCCTACATGGCCATTCATGATAATTTTTACCGCCCCCCTTCTGTGGTCTTCCCAGCTTTTATTTACTTTAATCACGATGTACTTGTGCATCACTGTTTCCAGTTGTCAATTTCCAGAGATTGGTCATTGTGAAACGGCGCAAGTATTTCTTTTTCTCAATTGGTTTCACCTGATTATTACCAGCTAAACTTTAAGACATCCGAGTTTCGCTGTTTAACTCAGATTATGCCTTCATGCCATGTGCAGACGACAGCGAAGAAAAATCAATCATAGGCGTTTAAAGCGCGAGTTCGCCTTTACTCTCACTTTAAGGAACTTTTTAATCATTTAATGTTGCTCTCTATTATGTCAAACTGTCGCTACGCTGGCATACCCTGTTGTAGCTCTCGAATCGACGTGCATGTGTGTGTAGCACATACACCCCCCCCCCATGACAAGTATCTCTGTTTAATGAAAACTGATTATAATGAAACAGTTAGCTAAATTTATTTGAACGCATTTCATGAATTCCCTATAGTTGCCATTCGACAAATCTCTTATTAAGCTGCTCGGTTTACTGCACCACAATACTTCATAATTTCTGTTCATTATGAGAAAGCTGTAAATTTTCTGGTGATTACTTCATGAATACATTTGAATTAGGTTTTTGTTTTGCATCCGTCATTAATATTTTATGCATGGATCTTGAGTAAGGAGCTTAAAATTTTCTTTTGTTTTAGACAAACCTCCAGGCAGCTACAAATATGACGAAAGCATGGTTTCGCATTATGCGAATTATTTGAACAACGACTTTCATAGCCGGCCGTCAGCAGTAAACGACTACCAGTGGCCTGTAGGTCAATCCAGAGAGGCACCTCAGCCAAATCCACTGAACAGTCCATTTCCCTCTTACAAGCTACACTCATACAACGATGCAGGTGGTTACAAAAATTACATGTCAGTTGGTAGGGAGATAACTGGAAGACCGCGCTACCCCTCTTTTGACAATAAAGCACATTCTACAGTATGTCAATCCATGTCAGATATTGGGAATCGAACTCCAAGTCATTTGTACAGTAGTCAGTCGAGACTAGTGAATGCTCCCATGAACCATTCCACATTAGCGATTAGTCATGATAATCCAATATACGACCAGTACGGGAACATCTATTCAACCTATTCTTCTACTCGTTCTTTTCCTCTCTACGATGAAAAGCGAAACATGGCTGCTTTTGACCACAGAACAGGTAAGAAAACGCCAAGG